TCTCTCTCTCTCTCTCTCTCTCTCTCTCTCTCTCTCTCTCTCTACCTAGACAATAATACACAATTAATGTAAGTGTAACAATTTTTATTTTTCGGAAACAGCACAAAAAACTTGGAGGAAACCCCAGTACGCTTTGACGCTGGTGAGTGATCTAAAAACGACAATTAAATTATATGTAATGCCATTGAAATTGTTCGATAAAATTATACTTTGATTCCAAAATGATACATCGCGCATAATGCAGGATTAATCAAACTTACAAACTTACATTCACCATATATAGCCTATCTATGATAAAATTTATTTAATCGCGCTAAAAACAATCTAGTCTTTTTTTTTTTCTTTCTTTCGGTACTAAATTATATCGAAACGTACAAAGTATCAAACATGGCGGTCTACTGTCCCATAGTCCGATTACATATGTTTCGCTAATAACAAATGATCGATCGTGGTACTTATTGTTTTTCTTTTCTCTCTATTTGGCAAGAACGACGACGCGCCGCCGCCGCCGTCATTAAACTAAACGAATTGAAACTTAATGGTACCGTATTGGAGGAAGACAATAAATCACGAAACGCGCTATCAAACAATTGGAGAAACGCTATCAAACAATTCTCATTATCGTTATGTATTATGCATCCCATTAAAATCCATTTAATAAATGCCCGCCACATCGGTCGGTGCGTGGTGCTGGAACAAATGCAATTACGAAAGTTACTCTTATTACAAACATATACATTATGAGCAATAAAAGTTGAGTCTTCTAAACTTTTTTTTAGGCCCAACTTGTTTTCTGCGCCGTATAATCGAGGCAGATATTTAGAATTTCATTTTTTATTTACTTTTTTTTTAATGAGAGAACACGCACTTTCGTTCTTTGTGAAAATATGGCCCCATTGTTACAGGCTCGATGTAGTGTTGGAAAATGTAGTATTCCTTTTATTTTGTTCCTGAGTCTGCAACAGGCTTCGTTCAACTTCGTGCCATTTGCATCTTTCATTGCTATTTCTTGATTTCTTTTTCTTCCGCTGTATTTTCGCAAATGTTATCTTTTTGTAAAAAAATAATCTGACAATGGATGTTGATTGCATTAATTCTTTTGCTTCGGTCTTGTGTTGTGTTAACATATTGACAACGTAAAGCAACGTTAACAAGTATTATCTGCCGAAAGAGTTTGCAAACGCAACTGGCACGAAATTGCACAGTTAAGATCTTTCTGAATTAATTCTACAGTATATACGTGTTTTTGTCCTCCCTTTACCTACTATATATTCATTTCCATTATTAAACTTCGTTATATTTCCCTAATCGCGAAACAGGCCGCGTCTGAACTCGGTGATGACAGGTAAATTCTTCTTATTGCTCGAACTTTGTCTTTATCTTATATGTGCAAAAAGTAAAGATATTATTCAATAGTTTAAACAATTCTCCATTTTTAAGATAATTAATTTGATTAATAATAATACAGAAGTATAAAGATTTAATAAATAATCAAAATAATTAAGTTAATATATTAAAAAAAAAAAAAGAAAAAACAGATTAGATTGTAAAGCAAATTGCATATTTTATTGATCCGCGCAATTTTATTTTCTATTTAATTCGAAAAATAAGAAGATTTATCTTGCATTCATCGGATTGTATTACCTATATATTATGAATTTCTTAAATCGTCCACGTGCTACACGGAATCAAACGCGATCAGGGTGCAAATGGTTGAGACATATTTTTGTCGTGATACTTCTTCCTTTACCATCCTCCTATATATTTTTGCGGAAAGCTCATCTCTTGCTGCAGCTCGAGAATTCTTAATAAGACGATGAAGTCAACACCGCGAATCATATTCTTTGTAGAAAATATTAGAAAAAAAATTGTGGAAGTCAATCTCTGATGTCGATGATCGGGAAATTTGTGATTTGATGATAAAGTAATCCTTTTAATTCATCCACCTGTGTGAAACCTTCTGATTAACGAACATTCTGCGCGTGAAATGAAGAAGCGGCGTGTCGTCTTAATAAAAATTCTCCGGCGCAGCGTATTCGAACGACATACATTCGCGCAAAAGTCGAAGACTTAGCGAGGCTTCAGTCTTTCGGACGTTAGTACATTTCGCTTGTCGCTTGTATAGTAGCAGATTGTTGTGTATGTGTGTTTTGTATATTGTGTGTATATTGTTTTGTATATGTGTTTACGCGCGCGGCAATACCATAATTAGTAATTGTCCTTTAGAGGCTCGTGACAATGTGTGGCTTGGCAGTGGTGGAGGCGATCTCGGAGAGCCGTACGTCGATGGGGATGCGATCGTCGTACAGGGTTGGTGCCTGCAGTATAATCCCGGCAGTGCCGACAACCACGGCTAGCGTGAAGATCCAGAGGAACAATCTGTCGAGCACCATCGCGACGTACTTCCAGTCTTCCTTGACCTACGAGTTATCGGTGAAAATTCATAGATGTGAAACGAATAGTATTTTGCATGTATCATAAATTCGTCAGCAATTAATACTTATTAAATAGTAGCTAATAAAAATCTGAAACGCAAAAAATATTTAAATAATAATATCTCAACATTTTCCTACTTTCAGCATTTTTCGAACATTTCTAAAGATCTTTTGAGCTTTCATGCCGTTCAAATCTTTGCAAGTGTAGAGCTAATTGTAGAGCTGAGTCTGCAAGTGTTACAATATCGTTTGCGAATTATGTGTGGGAAATTATAATTACTCTAGTGGAATCTTCTTCCCTCTTCGTGTGATCGGCGATGAAGCGAATGCCTTCGATGGCCTTGTACAATTCTGGGCAGTGATGCCAATGGTGAAGCGTGTTGCAGAGAGCGTCGACGCTCTCCTCCGTCGGGAGCTGTGGCGGTGGCGCGGCCGTTGCCGCTGGCGAACCGTGGATGCGACACGTGCTTCCTAAATTTACTGCCTCCAACTCCCTGAACAGACAATAGAAAAGTTTTAAAGTGGGGTAGCGCGCCAAAAGGATAAATCCTGAAGAATTAAAAAAAAGAAGAGCTTGTAACAAGCGAACGGTATTGCGCCGTAAAACGACCGTCCGAGTAGAAAATGGGAGATAATTAAGTTTATCATAAAAAATTTCATATTGCCGACGCAGTTATTCATCAGTGCAATCCATTTCTCGGGGGGGAAAAAAAACGTACAAATTAATTTAATTTCGTACAACGTCGTCCGATTGATAAAATATATTTTTCCAGAAGTTATCAGAAAATCAAATAGAGACGCGGTGTATAAAACTCGGAATTGCAATAATCAAATAAACATCGTAATAACGTAATAATTTTTTTACGTTCTAAATATTCTCAGACGCGAGACGCACCGAGGATGCAGCTCGTCCCGTGAATCGACACTAGGAAAAAGCACGGAGGACTCGACCAGCTCCGAGGCCGATGTCTCGACGAACAGTGATGGGTCTCGCAGCTCGAGACCGTTGCATGTTCTGACCATCACGCGATGCCCATGATGACCGCCCATGCTACGCTTGTCTATCTGGAATTGCGGCCTGAAGCGGAGAAACAATATTGTTGCAAAAATACAATTCTTTACTTGACACAGAAATTTATTTTGTTTTGTCAGACTCGACTGTAGAACCATGAAAGTATTTCTGCGCACAATTGCGTTCAGACACACGTACGATCTATTAGCGGCTGTGCATTTTCGAATTTTTACTTCCTTACAATTGGACTGAAATTATTTCAACGGCACAAATTATTTCTCCGCAGCTTCAGATATTTTTTTCTGCGAATAATCAATTTTACTTTAAGCAGTTCTACGCTTAGTGTAGCAACAATTATTGCTTGGCAAAATTCAGCTTACGATATTCGTGGCTGTAAAGCAATCATCACTGCACATGCTCCTAATTTCTAGTTTAGCGGGGTTGCAGATGTTTCGAGATGTATGTCGAAGTAACGACGAACGATTTTGCAGTGACATGTGTATAGTCGTGTGTTGAATGAAGCAATAGTTCAAATCGTGCGTTATAATAAATACGTAAGATGCGAACGTCGTGTGATATAAAAACACATATCATACACACATCGCGAAGTAAAATTGCTGACGAAAAGTATTAAGTATCGTCAAGATAGAGTTTCGCGAATTTGTAAATTTGCGAAAAGTTAAATTTGAAATTATTTATAACTGAACGACTTGAACTTAAGGAACGTACTGTAAGAAACTTTTCATGCGGCAACTGGATATAAACTCGACGCAATCTATGTTCGAAATAAGTGTCACGTTCAGCAATCGATACGAGGCGCTCTCGCCAGGAATCAGGAGGTTTGTTACGGCAGCGAGGAGAGATTGCGACTAATGATTGGCGGGCAGATCGTTCACGATGCAGTGCGATGCAGCAGCAACAAGGATGCGCCTAAAATGCTTGCAAGTATGACGCGACACTAACGTCACGTGCATGAGGAAGCGCTAATAAGTGCTTTAACGCCCGCACTGGCGCGGTTCCAATAACCGGACCACAAGTGCCGGAAGAATATATCTTGCCTGGAATCGTAATCGGTTCTCTGCGTCGGCGTATTATACCTGCGCATTACCAGCAGCCTCGGCAGAACGTGGATGAATACGCGTCGGACCCACGGTGCCATCACGTGGGTCTGCGGCGAGCGGAAGTGAACGTTTAGGACCACCACTGTTACGCATATACTGCAATGAGAAAGAAAAAAATGCTCAATTGTAAAAAAGCTCCGCAATTGTCGCTCAATGATCTGTGCTTGCATTAATTGGCGGGCGTTATTTCTGACGGTCGGAGCGACAGACAAATTTGAAGGTAAAAAAATTATTTAAGAGAAAAGACATTAAATTTCTGCATGTTTTTGCTCGATTGAAACGCCGTAAATAGACTTGGCGTTCAACGTATCACGCTTGTTTTCTCTAAGGGATCGAGACATTTATTATTTATCATACCTGAAAGTGTCGAGGATCATAGTGAACAGGACGAATTTACCGAGCAGCGGTACCACGAGCGACGTGGGCGGGATGATCTCGGCCAGCAAGAGGAAGAACACAGTCAGCGACAATAGAATCGAGATGGATAAGCTGACCTGTGGTAGAACGTGAAAAGAAGAATTCTCTTGACATCAAAACACAGTCATGTTTTTTTGCAGAAAACATCATGTAATTCGTGCGCGTGAAGGTGTTTTTCTCAAAATATTACATTAAAATTTTTAAGAACAACGGAAAAGGGGAGCTTATAATAGAAAAGGAAAGAAATTAAAATCATCAGATAGACAAATTGATAACTTTGCTCGGAATTAAAAATCTGAAAGAATCGAGTTAAGAGCGCAGTGAATCCCTCGAACGCAGTTTTATTTCATTAGTAAAATATGTACGAAATGAGTTTTGTCGTATAAATTTCAGATGCGCGGTGCGCTTCGGAGATGCATTGAAGCTGATTGGAGTGAGTATCGCCTCTCGCAATCTTTTCACATTAATCCTGTGTGCCGAGCACGTTGCGAGATGTGCCAGAGGCATTTTACTCTCTCCCCGTTTTCCCCTTCGGTAATCTCATTGCGTATCAGTCGATCGCTAAACAACTGACACCCCGACATCCGATTCTTTTCCTCTTTTAAGTGTCTGCCTATATCTTCCCCGCGCGCGCGCGAACCATCCCCATCTCCCGCGGCGGATTGATATGTCTGAATTATGTAAGCCGGTCGGAAGATATCGGCATTCGAGGTCGAGGAGCGTGTCTTGCAAGGCGGTCTTAAAGACGCAACACCGACGCGGGTAGATCGATCGCGGATTAAATCGTAATGGCGCGCGAGCTGCACTATATTCCGATCTAGTCGAGTCAAATCTTTGCGTCTCTGCAAAATTAATTCCCGACTACAACGCCGAAGCGAAATCTCCGAAAGCGTGCGGTGAGAGAGAGAGAGAGAGAAAGAGAGACGCGACATCACGACGATAAGGTCGATCGCGTATTAAATTGTAATGGTGCGAACTATACCGTTCTGTGCATCTCCCTTTCGGGAGAGAGAGAGAGAGAGAGAGGGAGGGAGAGAGAGAGAGAGGGAGATATTCGCGGCTCCAAAATTAATTTCTGTCTGCGTTTGTAAAACGATCCGCAGAGACGTTCGAGAAGACGTGACATCCAGTACGAATTAATTACCTTTTCTCCACTGTCGCTTGGCAGGTAAAACACCAGTACCGTGAGAAAGGATATCCCCATGCACGGTATGATGAGATTGACGGTGTAGAACAGAGTCTTCCGTCTCATAGTGATGTTGAAGGTGATGTCGAGGTAAGGCTCGTCACAACACGTGTAAAACTTTTCGTTCCTGCAACCCGCACATTCGTACAGCTTCGCTTGACGATCGATAACTACTGTACATTAACCGCGTCTCATGCATTTCTCGCAATCTCTTCGATCCACGAACTAAAGCCGTATATCAATATTAATGCTGATTATTAATAAAATCAATATTGAAGTTTAAGTTTGGAAAATGAAAATTGAAAAGACTCGTGAAAATCGAATTCTATAGCGCTATTTAAAATCTTGATCTCTTAAGAAATCATCATATTTTACGTCAAAAACCAGATGAAAAATTCGTAATTTAGAAATAAATTTGTACTAATAATTTTCTTTTTGTTTAATTTCAGATGAGGATGTGGAAAATCGTTAAAGCGTACCTTACAGCAGGGACTTCAAGGATGTCCCATTCGACGGAAGTGTAAAATTCCGACAGATCGACGCCGATGTCGACGACATTGCTGCCCCGGACCTCGTCAATGTGTCTAAGATCGACCTTAACAGTAAATTACTAAAATTTACAATGCATTGTTGATATCAATGTCTCATGCTTAACGTCTCGTCAATCAATTCACATCCGCCCCGGTGAGAAGAATTACGTCCACGTGCCGCTGTCGCGATTCGTGTGAAATTAGAATCGGCAGGCGCACGTAAATGTAAGATAAAATAATGTGACATAGCAAAGACATTCAAGAGTTCTTTAAATAACATTCACTATTGAGGTCAGACAATTCGTCTGACCGCCTTATTAGTTCCACCGTGACTCGTCTCGTTCGGTTGCCATTTATACTCGACGTAAGGTCGCACGTGCGTCTCTAACAAGCGGCGCTTTTCTTCAAATAAAAATAAAAAAAAAAAAAAATAACAAGCAATACGATCTCGCAACAGATAGTGTCTAACGACTGGCTAATACTTTCGTCGTAACGGCGTTACGAAAGTCACGATCGAAATTACGATTGCTTTAACAGGAGCTTGGCGAGATCTCCATTGCGTCGAAGAAAGATATTCGAAAACCGAGAATTAATCGGATTATTTAAAAACGTCCAGAAGAAACATGTTTCCTTTTTTATAATAATAGAAGAACTCCTGACAAAAGACCCCGCTTGTGACACTCATTGTCGGGCAGAGTCTATTGTGTCCTTTTAAGAATGTCACGTAACAAAAAATTTGCCATAAATAAGAAAAAGTTCCTCCAATTGTTCATTATTACATGTTTTATTCATAAAATCCGTGCTTTCTCCGCAAAGAATGATTAATCTCTTTAATTTATTCAAAGAGACAAACGAATTGATTCGTGTCGTTTCAGCGATTGAATTGTTCATTACGGGTTTGAGTAACGGAAGGAACTTTTCCGAATCGTTCGCGAGTTGTCAGGTGGCGCTCACCTGGAAGCCGTCGTAAGTCCACGAGCCGAACTTCATTACGCATGTTTGTTCGTCGAAAGGAAAATATTCGACATCGATCTCGCAGGAAGACTTATAAATCGCCGGCGGCTTCCACTCGACCCTACCCGTGTAATTGAGAGTCGCCTTCGTCGCCAGCGTCACCTCGAAGTTACCGTCGGCGCTGTGCGGAACGTAAGCAATCATTTATTATTTGACCGATGCACAAATCGCTGATGACAAATCGCTGCTTCGAGGAAAACTTACTTGTTGTATAAAACTATATCGGGCCTCCATATATGATCCGACGGTACGTGCAGCATCTCCACCCCGCCGTACTCCTTCGGCTCCCATTTCAACTTATAATCATACCATGACTGCGAACAAAAAATTGATGCGACGTTACTCACTTCACTTTATTTAATTATTTAAGGAATAATAGTGGCGAAGCAATTGCCGCTTCGAAATAAAGTCTCTCCACTTTGAGGGGTTTTGCAAAAAGAAAGATATTGATAATTAAATTATTACAAAAAAAATTTACGATTACAAGTAATGCAAAATCGATATTACTCCTTCCGTAAATATCGTGAGGTTTTCTGCATTTTATGTTGTGCATAAAATAAGGGTGTTTTTCTTAGAAACTTGTATATGATATTCGTTATTGTATCCTAGTTCATGCATTTAAACGGGAAGCGACAAAGGATCGCGGTATCGAGAAATCGCTGAAGCCGCTTCACGTGCACCGAGGCAATATTTTGCAACTTTCCTCATCGAGAGTTAAGGCTAAAACGAAGAAATTTGCATACGCTAAACTTTCTCCTGTCCGTTCATCCCGACGATAAAAATTGTGTCCTGCGCGCTTTATTGAAAAATTTCAGTGCCATCAATCTACCCGACTTCGTGAAACAAAACTCATTTTACGGAATTTCGCAATAAGATTAAAAAAAAATGTGCCGGATAAAAGGTCCACGGCGATTCGTTGTGCATCAAAGAAATCTGGTAACAAAAGTAAATGGGTCAAACTGTCATGACGGATTCTTGAACGCGAGTTTGAAGTCAGTCTTCTTTAATGAATTATCATTCGTCCCGCGCTTTTCACAAATCGCAACATTTTATATAAAAATTAAAATTCTTACTTTTCAACGTCTAGTAACGAAGATCAAAGTCTTCTATTTTCAATTGTCAAGAGCCCACCGGCGGTGGGGCACTTTTTGCGAGGAAAGATCTCTCGAAAACGGTCGGAAGAATCTGACGTTGGAAAATTTTGTTCCTTTATTCCTCGCGGAGTTTTGATGCGAAAGCATTGTGCGCGCAAAAGACACGACCGCTTTTATTACTGGCACTTTTCCATTTGTGTCAGCGGAACGTCCGCGAGCGGCAGCGGATCCGCCGTTATCGCGGCCGCCGGTCGCCGGAAATGCACTTCCTTGGGGCGTGGACACAGCATTATGCGTGCGGCATGTCAAATATTAGCTCGGAGCCCTGAAGTCGCCCGCTTACGCGCCCCCGTGTATTTGCCAGCTAGAATATTACTTATGCCGTCGCGCGCAGTGTCGGATATGACGTGTATGCGCAAGATTCGGACCTGTGTTTGGCCGAACCAAAGGTAATGCTTAGTTAAATAGGCGAGTGCTCTAACTCCAGTGCGGTAACTTATTAAATATTCATCGCAAAATGACATACGAGCGGAATTCGCGGTGATCCTCGGCATTTGCAACACCGTAAAGTCGGGGATTAAATTTAACCGTAGAATGGACCGGATGTACGCTCACGGCGATATTCCATATCGATCTCGACTCCCCCCCGGCGCTTTTTCCGCGATAACTGAACAATGTAATTGCAATTTCTCGATTTTAGCCATTCAAACTTGGACGAATGACAACGAAACGTTTGCGCGGGAAATAATATTATTTCGGCAGAAAGAATTATCGCGATTATTGTAAAAGGACTTCCACGTCGCTCCACATAATATCGGCGAGCAGGTCGCTCGCAATGCGGACATTTTCAACCAAGTTGCACCGGCACGAACCGGTTAATCCCGTCGATAAATCGCGGCGGAATTAACATTTTCGTGCGCGAACTTCGCGATAACATTGATGCGTGACGGACCGCGGCGGATAGCCCGAACTTTCCGCTCGCTCGCTGGCATGGTGTTCGCTCGAATCTCCGAAATATATGCATGAACATCGACGACGGCGTGCTTGAGTTATACTAATATCGCATATCTAATACTAATATTTGATGTCCGCTGATGGGGTTTCGGCGTTTCACTGATAGAAATCGCCGGATATGCTGAGCCGTGAATCCCCGTAATGATTCATAAAGTTTAATCACGTTTCGTACAAACAAAGCTCCTCGTTAATTGTCATCATCATAGTTAATCTAAACAATCAACTATATGTTATTATTTTCCATTCGGATTTATCTAGTTTGAGAATTATTGAACAAAAATTCAAGAAATAAAATGATAGAGGTGTTGTAAAAGCCAACGCGAGTCGGAATAAATCAAAATTTGTGAAAAAATTGGCTTTTTTGTTCGTTTCAATCCTAACTCTAATATAAATTTCAATTTATTTTGACTTTATTTCCATTATCGAACCGTCATCTATTCCATTTTATTTTCCAATTGTTTTTCAATCGTACACAATAATTAAAAAATTTTGATGTGTGTACTCAAATATCTAACAAAAAAGGTATACGACGAAAAAACAACGCGCGTATAGAAAAATTATGACTGTACAATATATATGCAAATTAATATGCAGAATTAAAATAAGTCTTAGTGTATTGAATTTCTACACCATATAATTTTTTTTATACTTCTACCGAATATTTTTCGACTAGAAATTTATGTATAACAACTTTCACGGATAATCGACTTCGTTTGTCTTCTTTGAGCTCTTAGCAACAGCTTTTAAAAGATTTTTCACGCGACACCTCGCAATCGCGATACGAGATATCTACCGTTTAATGACCCGATTTCCCTGTCGCTAGCCGCGTATTTATTACACGAATTTATTTCGTGCCCGCTGTATGTCGCAGGAGGAAAAAACGGTTGCGCACATGGCGAATCTATCTATCTTACGTAATCCAGCATTTGAAAGTGGGTTGCACGGTTCACCGGAGTTATTTTCTGGCTTTTCGGTCCGGAAGCTTTTCTGTCCGATCTTCGCTTCTGCGTTCGTACGCGTACGAAAATCCGCGCGTACGTATATATATGTGTGTATATACATATATGTAGACGCATGCTGAAACTTGTCATCGACAGAAGGCAGTTGTGAATATTTATTTTCCACATGGACGATGATCGGCCATCATCGATGGAATTTTCAGCGGAAGTTCGAAGTCGCCGTAATCGAAAATTGCTACAATTTATCCCGCCGTTGGCCTTCTCGCGAAATTATTATGGAAAATCGAAATTATACAGAAAGCGAGTAATATCAATGTTCGATAATTGCAATTTTTGCCATGTAAATTTATTCCATTCGGCATTGTTATATGTTTAATGATATTTTATAATTATCGATTTTCCATAATTTCGATAATGCGATTTTAGAATATATTACCTGCTCGACCCAGAGGTTTGTCGTCATGATCTGATTCTTCAAATTCTGCAAGAGAATAATTTTGTGAGAATACATCGCGTGTGCCTGCTCTGAAAATATGTCGCAACATTTCGGTATGAGCTGATATATCTCGTGCTCTTTCGAGATGATTAAAAAGTAAATAGCACACATGTTTATATCAGCGGCACCCGTTGCAATATTTATCATTACGAAGTATAGAATATACGTCCACAATACAATTTTTCTTTAAATAATTTTGTTATTTAAAGAAGAAAGAACTTAACAATAAATATTTTTAAAAATTTCACGCTCGATATTAATATTTAAATATATTGATATTTGATGTTTTGCTTATGCAAATTCCATTTGTGTTCTTTCTTTTCATTCAACAAGTAATGTTGTGCGAGGATTGTATTTCTTACCACGTCGATGAGCTGCGAAAGCTTGAGCTTTATTTTAACGGTGAGGGCGTCTGTGACGTTGACCACTGGACGAACCAGCTTGTTGTAGTTCGACAGGAGGTCGTCGTATAATCGTTTCGCGTCTGGATTTCCTGAGCATCCTGAAAATATAGAGATACGCGTCCTAAATTTGAATGCCGTCTAAAAGGGGAGCTTCTCGTACCGAGATAAAATTTTGCATGTCTTTATATAGCGAACAAAATTAGCTTAACATATAACAAATAAAGCACCGAACGAAATATAAGATCGAAATAATATCTCACCGACACGGCCGCGTGCGCATAAATTAGAAGACAATTAATTTTCATCTTATTTATTACTTTAGGCCGTTGTCTCGAATTTTGTGCGAACTTTCTACACTTTTCATTATATTTTTTCGTGATGATGTGACTCGAAGTTAGTTTTGCGAAGTTTAGTGTTAATATCGCGATGCACGGTTGGTTGCCGATAAACGAAGCGAAAACAAGTCTCCGAAGGGACGCGGGGAATGGAAAAGCGGGAAATATTTCGCCGGAAGGCAGATATCAAAGGAAGGGAGACAGCCGTGGATGGTTTATCCACGTAACAGGACAGCTCGGTAATTCCGCTCCGTAGTTTTCCCATTATCCGTGCCCATGTGAGCGTGCCGTGTGGATTCCGCTTTGCGCATATTTAACCCTTTGCCGTACGGCAGTACATAAAGTGTTGCCGTCATTACAAAGACCACACACACATACACAGCCACGCGGGGGCAATACCGACTGGATATACGTGCCAACGTCTGAACTGTTCTCCATTCATTTGTAATTTCAAGGTAAAATGTTAAGCCCATGGATCTGCGTATAACGCTGCAAATCGCCGTTAATCTTGCGAAGCTCCCCAACAGCGGTCTGAACAGTGTACGAGAAAAGATCAAAGGGTAATTCAAAATCATAATCCCCGATGCTTACTCGACGCACTCAACGACCGCATCACGAAATCGCGCGTCTGAAATTCAACGGTACAAAAAAATGCACGGACAATTTTTAGCATCGCGTCTTGAGGATCAATACACGCGGGATCCGCGAGAGAAACTATAATTTATCCATCGTCGTCGAATCGAGGAAGCTCCATTTTTCAACGTCGAATCGGCGCGGATTAAAGGGACGGCAAAAATTTTCTCACCCGTCTCGCGCGAGACGCGGACGTGTCGATATCACGTTATTACGATAAAATCGCCGTTACATTATTTATTACGCTCACACGTCACTTTATCGCCGTTTTATGAGCTCTTGCAAGCAACGCGCGCAGTGATTTTAATTTTAAACCCGAGCCAGTCGGGGTCTCCTCATATATTGGGCGATAAGGAAACTGGATGTAAGACACACCGGGATATAATCATAATCATAAGACCGAAGTGGCCCGTAAAAGTATCGACAGTGATGTTCTTGGGTATTTTTCTGCCTGGTCCAAATCCATTCTGTTCTAAAAATACTAAATAAACTAAAATACCAACAACTTCCGAACATTAAAACAATGCGCTGAAACTGTAAGAGAAAATTGTTGTAATATTTAAGCAGAATGAGCTTTTTAATATTTTATTACCGCATTATTTTTGTAACGCTTTGATATGCATTAAAATTTTGCCACAAATATTTGATAACGTGATAAAAAATTCGGAATGTTTCTTATTTATACGTTTACATCTGCAATTATGGTTAACAAATGAATACTCACTGAGCAATAATGTAACTAGCATCTGATAATTACGCGTGCGATTACGTTAAAATTAATTGTCCGAGCATGGTGCTTAAAAGCTTCGGAATCGTGTCGTTCACTCCATTCAACTGTATTCGCGCGCGTTTTTCTCGGTAAAAAAAGAAAAAAAAAGCATTACAACCGCCACGCGAGTGCATTTCACAGTGAGAGCAGCGCGCAGAAATGCGACCATAAACGCGGACGACCCGTTACGTGCATCCGTGGTACTCGCTAACCGATAGTGTACGCATCTCACAAACCACAAGCATATTCATGATAATGCACAGCACATTTGTGTGGATCACAGTGACATCGGGCCCGCAAACACACACTGCCGGGACACAGAAAACGCTTTACGAGCCCGAAGTAGTAGACTCAACGTTTGCACGCACGTATATCCATGTCATTATTCGCATATGCACGCGAGAGTAATATCCGTCTATGTTTATGTATGCAGGTTTTTTGCGAAACGGAGAGAAATATTAATAAAAGATGTTTTGATTTTTCAGATACGAGAATAAATCGACAACCAGAATCGTAAGCTCTTTTTCGAACAGAAAAATAAAAATTCACGAGAAACCTAAACTTCAAATTTTTCCCTTTTCTTGACAATTTAACTTAGCGCGGTTCAAAATTTAGGCCCGCAATTTTGTGAATTGTACAATCTACAAGCGAAATCGATTATTTATTAGTTTCGAAGTAACCGAAAATTGGAAATATTTACGTGATTAATTAATATTTTGAGAAAGTGAGTGAATAATTATGCGATGTATTTCACGTAGGTAAAACGAGCTGGAATATTCGAAGCGATAAGACCAAATTTTCCGGCGATTAGTATGAGTGGATTAATAAGAGCTGGATTGATCGCGGGTACCTGATATGAGCACCAACACTATCCACATGATCCCCACCAGGCTCTTCATCATGTCATTGTGTCACGTCCACCTCATTTCTTCTCGCCTTCGTGCGCTCCAGACCCCTCAGTTTTTGCACTGCAATAAAAGAAGGATGATTGACCAATCATAAGAACGCTATCGGGTCGTCTTACATCATCCATAAATAATATCTAGTCTCCTTTTCTCGTTTTCTTACAACGCGTATCACATTTTTATCACATCTTACGGGGCGAAAGATTGCCGTTTCTATACTTAATAAAGACGAATGACACTTTTATATACAGAAATAATATAAAATGTGTATAAATGTGCATTAATATCGCTGTCTAAATATTTTCATCTTTAAAAACAGGTTTTAGAGTAAATCGGAAATAGATCGATTAATTAAAATTCATCTTTAGACTCACTTTCGTATTTTCTATTCGAGCAATAAAGACGCAACATTATTGCATGACAGTATTAAAAAATTGGGGGGATTCAACATTCGCTTAACAGGAGCATTGAAATTCAACAGGCTTAATTACGCGTTGATCGCGAAAGCCATTGTAATTTATTACAATGGCGCAGTACCGGCCGAAGTGAATAAGGAAAGAACACGAAAGACGTCGGCCCGTGAATTATGAACAGGTAATTGCGGGCTATCGCGAAAACTTACGATCGTTTTTGCGCTTGTGCGCGAATATATTCAAACGATGCCGATTAAGCGCGCGATAAGTAACTATGCGCGCGAGAGGTATGTGATTTTTTTTTCGAAAATTACAACAATTCAAATGCCACTGATTTCTAAAAATCAATTACACAATTCCAATAACTACCGATAAAACAAGTGAACAGTAATAAATCTTGGATTATATTCTATCCGTTCTCGAATTAGTCTTCCAAACAAAAAAGATTATCTGAACTCGAACGATAGACGACTTGTATTCGAAGTAGACATGATATTTTTGCCGAAAGACACCGAAATCTAAATTCTCACAGTGAATGGTTCCCGCCGCGATCGCAACAACGGCGTATAATTTTCTGTGTTTGCTTTGTGCAAAATAGATATTTGATTCATGGTTTTTACGAGCGAGCTGGAGCTTCACGCGCCGTTATCGGTGCCAATTTTCGTGCCGGTAGATTTATGGCAGTCGTAAGAATCGCATTACGCGATGTCGGATCCTCTCTGCATTTTGATATTTTTGCAGGTGACACGCGACGGCTGACGCCAATTATTGCCGCGATTCCGGGATTCCTGCAAATTTTCTAAATTCCGAAAATTCCACTGTGAAATCTCTTCTCGCAAATATTCCAATCTTTCATCAGAGGCAATTGTGAATTTTCATTAACACGATCCACGAGTTTTATAAAATCTTTTTACTTTTTAAGTCACTTTTTTCCACTCGTGTAAAAAAAAAATGGCAAGAGAACGTCGAGCGCAAGGAACAAAACCCGCCGCCTGAATTCGTTCTGCCTGACGCTGCAGGCGTATTTTTTTTCACTTACCCGTTTGTGTAACGCGCGTAACGGCGGTGTTGCTCGCGTACATATGTATCCACCATCCGACGGAAGTGGATCTGGCGCAGAGAAAACCGACTTGAGCTTGAAATTGCAAAAAAGTCCGCGCGCGCGGACAATGTCGTTTATATTCGCGAAAAGAGAGTCTTCTCTTTCCCTTCTTTTTTCCCCTTCTTCTATCTATATCTATTTCTCCCTTTATTTTCAGCTATCTGTCTTTCCCTCCCCCGTCCATTCTCGCCGATTATTCTTACCGGCGCATCTATATTCTTCCTCCCCTTCCCCCCCCTCCACCCGCTTCTTTTTCCTCTTTTTCTTCTCACCTACGTCGATCCCGTTCCACTCGTTGCGTCGCGACGTCGTTTTCGCGCGTTTGCCACCCGCGAACGGTCGCATGAGCATTTCGTGACCTGATTTTCGTGAACTCGCTGGAAACGCTGGAGGTTCTCGAAGAAGTGGCACAATGTAGGGATTACGAAATAATATGCCAGTGTGTTTCGGGCTGTGTTTCCTATTGGCTGCGTTAACTCCTCCGATATAACGAAGCGATTAGCCGTGACACGAATGGTTTTGTTTCCGTGGGGCTCCCCTTCCGCCATGCACGTCCGTTTTATTCCGTAAATGTTACGTAATATCCTACGGTCTTTTTTACAGAGTTAAGAAATTTTACCGGCGAAAAAGAATTGACAATCGGGTTTGTAAGGTCGCGGGTCATCGCTGATCGGTAATAAGTTTCTTTCAGGAAGAAAAAAATAAAAAAAGAAACACATTTGACAACTATAACTCCTTTTCAAATACGTTTCCGTGAAACCGCGTTCTTTTTTCTTTTCTTTTTTTGCGCGCGGAGCAAACGATATATCCATCTCGGAGGTTTTGGAAATCCGGAAATCCATATCGGGCAATCGTTCGCAAATCGCGGGGAAACGGGCTTTTCTGGCGCGAGATAGATGACGGGCCGGGCGGTTGGCCGGCCGTGTGAGTGGCAGGCACTTATTATTATCGGTTATTCAGTTCCGCGAGTGCCAATATTCTGTTATGCGCAACCCGGCGCGTCAGTCCAGCGGCTGGTTGGCTGGCAACATCTCGCCGCCCGGTCATCTCTTGTCCGCTCTCTGCATCCATTATTCGCGCGGCACAGCCGACTAGCCAGCCGGACCGGAGTTGCATTTTTCCGCACGAAGCCCCGATACCCGGTTTGGCAATATCGCTGTGGCGTCGCGTACGATAAAATTGCACAGTGTATACAGGTTGTTCTAGAAACTCGCACTTTTCATTTGTCGATTCTCTCGTCAATCCGCGGTCGATCTTTTTTCCAGTACAAATGTCGACGAAGGCGAAAAAATAAATGTTTTGCACAAACTCTTGAATTTTTAATATTAGACTATTTTCACAATTACATACGTTTAGAAATTGGATAATAAAAAGTTTAAAGAAAGACGATTTATTATTAAAGTCCTTTTAATTGTAATATTTAAAAAAATATGTAGTCGCGTAAATAAGTCAAATGTCTTTTTAACTGATTAAAAATCTGTTGAATGCAATCTATTTAAAAAATTAAACAGAGAATTGTGTTCAAATTTCAATAATTAGTTTTTTTCGCAAGATCCTTCATTTTCAGTCGTTTATTATGGTTTCACGATGTTTTTGTAAAAGACGATATCGGTTTCAAGTTGATCAAAGAATCCGCGTGTACAAAGTGGTTCAGTAAATCTGCGACACCCTGTATATATGTACACACAGTTTTTACAATTGATAACAGAAACCCTCTATCTCGTGTGCGGCGCACGGTATACGACGAAATGAGAACTCGACAGGCCATTAATCGATGCGCAATCGAACTCGATCTACGTGTAAAATTCCAGGAGCTTTCAGTGAAAACAATTCAGCAACCCGATCTTCATCAACGGCCATATATTGCGCGGCATGTAATGGTCGACGAATGCGCCAACGTTTATTTTGCTTCGCTTGCCTTATTTTCATTCTATGCAGAAAAGTTCAGTTACCGATTGCAAACATATTTCACGTTGAAACTCGCGAAAATTGCGACGCGTGAAGGCCGGAATATTATGAAATTTTCGTTTCGAGGGAAGATGGCTTCAAAATTTCATCAAGAATACCATCTTACCTCCGTAACTCAATTTTTTAAGACAATCTGTACGAGAATACACTTGACCCGGGACACGTTATAGTGCGTCCTCCTCGTGCTAATATTACCAAGAAAATAGCGCGAAAGAAACAAGATAGGCGCGATTAATATGCAAATTTTGACAGCGGACACGTATCCGGATTGCTGTCGCGCCTCGCTCCAGAATCGTTTAGGAAACTTCACGTTCCCTTCATTCCCGTCGGAAAGTTATTTCTGCAACGTGGCCCCGGGATCGATAAACCCCGAACCCGTCCGTCGCTCTGGCCATGCCCGGCACTTTCGCGGGCTTGAGAGATGGATAATTATCTACGTACGAGCAAGAAGCTCTTTAAATGGCTTTTCCAGGATTCGCTTTCTTTCCCCGTCGCCGCGCGTGTCAGTGACAAAGCTGACTAGTTAAATGAGCTTCCTCGTTAATCTTGGCATGCCGAGAATGTGTAAAATGCACGCATACAAATGCGTATCGAAGAGCAAATCGGGCAAACAGAGATGCAAGAGTTTCGAATTTATGAATATTCAATTACTTCGTTTGCAAAAATTTAACATATTAAAATTATATTCATCGGAAAAATAATACTTTTTGCGAATATTAATTCATTGATTTGCACATATTTAAATTTTGTTTATTTTACCTCTGTATTTTCTGGTGGAAAAATTTACCGCTGATTGTCGCAAATTTTTTACTTGGCAATCCTTAACGACAGTTTAACCTATTTAACTGATGATTACGTAAGCGACGCGCACGATTGTTACCGCAGCGACGTTATTAGATTCATAAATCTTATTACTGCTGTTAAGGAACAGTGCCTTCAGCCTCCGCAATTAACTTTTGCGGATTAACTACGCCCCATAGCGATCCATCCACGGATGCGGCACGCAAATTTATTGCGGTGTCTAAACATATTAATTATATATAAACAGCTATTAAACTGCGCACAAATTATCTCCTCAAATACACCACTAATTATAACAGACTCGAGATAAGTACCGAACGTTTTGAAGAGATTTTGAAAATAATTTTTAACAAGTTTAAAAATAAAATCATGCTTTACAGTCTGCTATTATTTTGCTCGCGTAAATGGAATCATAAAATAATTTTTTTTTTTCGTAATAATTATTGAATTAAAACTGTATGAAATTTTATAATTTTATTTTTTAAATGCGCGCATAACGTATCGAATATCAATCTTTAAAAATAATAATACATGTGTTGATATATTTTATATTTTTATGTGTCATATATTTTACGATAAATATAAATTTTTAGACAATTATGATACAATACGCGCATTTCGATCCCGACTTGAAATTCAGTTAACCAGATGTGCCCCGATAATCCGAATATCCTCTCGCATTAATTAATCCGGATTACAGTGGTTGCGCGCACCCAGTGTCGACTCCAGCGTACAAAAATCGCGCTCCCGGGAGTTATCGGGCATTATCGGCTTCGGGC